AAATGTATGTCTTTTGTTATATTTTCCAACCATGGATGTCACCCTTTTTTCACCTGATGGGTTGATGACACATTTGGTCCATTCTGTGCCTGAATCCACAGAGTAAACACAGGAAGCTAACGCTACCTGGGTCGTTGTTTGTCATATTGTGTTTCGCTGGTGTAATTTTAGATAATGCCACACTGTGTCACCGTTTGCTGTATTAAGAAAATAAAAAAATAAAAAAACACTTCCCACTCACAATAAAAAAAAGAGCGCAGTGGGAGTGAGCCGGAGCCAAGCACAACTTCTGAAGGACCTACATTTGTGTTCTGAACATTTATCTCCAGACGACTGAGTCGTTTGTGTGAGCAAAACAGATGAAGGCTCTAAAAGGGGATGTGGTTTGCTCTGTCATATTTAAACTCCCATCAGTATTTTAAAGCTGTAGAAGGAAAAGACACATCTGCAGACAGACAGCCGTATGTTCTATACTCTATGTGAATATATAAATTCCTAACTGAAAAAGTCAAGTAGACAATAAAGTGCCACAAGTCTCAATTTTGTGTTTTATTTTATGCTCATCTTGCATCCAGACGTACCATATGAAGAAGCTGGTGGCCTGCATGCGCCAGGACATTTTTCTTTGCAAAAAGATAATCCTTATTGTATGACTGACTATCTATTCAAAGTAGTCAGGTTGCATCATGAAAAGCTAACCTGTATTGGCATGACAGTCAGAACCTCAGATTGTGTATACTTTAGCATGTCTGTGTGAATGTGTGTGGGGGTCTAAGTGTTTCTAGAGTACATGTGTGTGTGCACAATGGAGGCATGTGCTAGTTTTCCACATAAAGTTGAATGTTGCATGGAAAAGGTATAAAACTTACAGCACTCACAACAAGAGTGGGCAGAGTTATTTTTTACTGAACAGGAAGTGTTTGATGAGAACATGGTGAGCAGCAGCAGCAGCTCTGGAGGTTTTAACCACAAAGACCAAATGACATGTGGTTTGTTCATTGTCAGGTATCGTTGACAACCCCATCAGCAAAAGTTATTTTAAAGCTGCAGCAGGAAGTAACACATATGCAGACAAATATCCATTAATTGCTGTAGTTTACAGAATTATATTCTTCCATCCTTTTTCTTTACACCCTTGTCCCTTAGTGGGTCGGGAGGGTTGCTGGTGCCTATCTCCAGCTAACGTTCCGGGCGAGAGGCGGGGTCACCCTGGACAGGTTGCCAGTCTGTCACAGGGCAACACAGAGACACACAGGACAAACCATGCACACACTCACACCTGGGGGCAATTTGGAGAGGCCAGTTAACCTGACAGTCATGTTTTTGGACTGTGGGAGGAAACCAGAGTACCGGGAGAAAACCCACCATGCACAGGGAGAACATGCAAACTCCATGCAGAAAGACTAGGGCCGGGAATCGAACCCAGAACCTTCTTGCTGCAAGGCAACAGCTCTACCAACTGTGCCAGATATTCATATTCATACCAGACTCAAAAAAAAAGTCATCTAGAAGACGGTTTACAAATCTCCACTCCATCTAATCCAGAATGCAGTTTTAATTCCCCAAGGTGAACTAACAAGATTTATTGAGTTAGATTTAGGATTTTCTTTGGATGTTTGGTAGCAACAGACTGAGGAAAAGGTTTTCAGGTCAATAACTGGTTTGTCTCTGAAACATTCTGGCTCTTTCTGGAGGATCCTCTGACGTTTCCACACCAGAACAGAGACGTTCTCAGTCCTTTGAACACAGAGATCTTCTGTGTTCAAAGATATTCAGTCATTTTCTGTGTGGCCAGGAAATGGCCAATGATAGGTGGACGTTTTGTCAGTTTTGTTCCTTCCTCTTAACATCCTTCAGCTGCCTCAGAGCTGGATGAAATCTTAACCTAACATATATCTGCTGCCCTCTGGTGGACGCTATGTTGTTAAGCAGTGCCATGTTTTAAAATGTTTCAGCCGCTCAGTTGTTCATGTTTAGGATCACGGCTCAGTGCAGTAGGCCAGAACGTTGTTCACCCAATAACAATGATCAGGTTCTGGAGCTGCTAAATGTCTTTCAGCTGTGATGTTTTTATGCTTATTTGCAGTGTTTGGTTTTTGATCCAAACCAACAATAAAACATTAAATATTTCACCGTCATTTGGTCTGATTATAGTTAAAGTTTATAAGAGAGTAGAGGTTGTTGGGGTCGTTGGAGGCTGCAGCAGATGAAGAATGACGTCTCACTGTGCTGTAGGTCACTGTGTCACCATGAACCTGGAAAATAGACAATATTTCAGTTTTATCAGGATGAAGGGGATAGTTACACTGATGTATGAATATGCTTCCATGTTTTGACGTGACGGTTTATTCTCCTGATGTTTTACTGCTGTTTCCATGGTTACAGTATGACAGAATATTGTCTGAGAGAAGCCAATTTCATCTACTTGTATCCAGAATTGTATTTTTCCAGTCATGATTACTAGTTTGTAATGGTTGAGAGTTAGAACCAGTAAAAAAAGGACTTTACTTTAATTCACCTTTTTCCTTCCTTAAACACCTGCATTAAAGGAAGCTCCTATTTATCAACCACTTGCTGCTGCACTTCCATCACTAATGAACAAAACCTGAAGTTACTGAACTTCTTCATTTGGAGCACAAAGCGATGCCAAACCCAGAGCAGACAATCTGCATATTAACTTTATAACTTATTCATATTAGCTACATTTCTTCATCTGTTTAATTAACCTCTCAAATTCATGCAGGGAAGTTAAAACACTTTGTGTTCTGAGAATGTTTTTCACTAATTAATGCTAAAAAGAAAAAAAACAAAAAAACAAAACAACTGTCTTACCAAAACTTCACCGCTGGTTTTGGGATGTCTGATGGAGGCGTAAGAAACGCCATCGTCTACATCATCCTGAACATGGAAGAAAAAAACAGAGATTAATTTCTGACTTTAGCACAAATTTATTATGTAGGCGAATCTTAACCCTGGAGTTTCTAAATGTTTACTGAAAAAGGTGCCTTATTGGATGTTTTGGTACTTTAACTTAGACCTATAAACATAGTGAGTTTTATTTATAGACAATTACGTCTCGTCCTAAAGTAGAACTACATTGTTTACCTTCATTTGTAAGTTGAATAAAAGTTTCTCTTACAGGCATAAATATGATAAACCAACTTCTAATGAGTTCAGATTTCATAACAGATTTATTTCTCAGAGAGGAAATATGTTATTATTTTCACTCACGGCGTTTTCATCCCGTTGTGTTTCATTTCCTAAGAAAGACATTTAAAAAGTCAGCAGATTTAATTTATAGAATGAATAAAGCTGTTTATATAAGTTCAGAGTCCTCACGTTTAGCTCTCCATCTGAAGACAACCATGGCGATTATCACCATGACGACCAACGCCACACCCACACCAACGTATGGAGTACCTGACAAGAAGAACGGAGCATAAATAAAAGCTTATGTGGAAATGCTTTCACAGCCGTTTTTTTTTTTTTTTTGTAAATACACTTTGAAGGTATTTGAAAGTATGAATTAAAAAAATAAAACCATAAACAGAACAAAGCATCCTAGATAAGATCTAAAAGAAAACATGAAGACGTTCTCTTCACGGTTTAATGAGATGCTCACTTCCTGATGTGGTCTTCACTGTGTTTCCGTCTTCAGTTGTTGTTGGTCTTTGTGTCACTGCTGTTCCACCTAAAGACAAATAAAAGACATTAAACTCAAACAGTGTTATGATTTCTGTCTGCTGTGTTATTTTAGTTAGAAGATAAACCAATCAAATAACCATAAACTACAGGTCATTTGGTCATCGTGAAAACACAGCATAACAGTGAATTCTGTATTTAAAAAATCAACTGAATTACTTCTTTCACCTGATGAGTGTTGACTGAAGGAAAACAGCTGAACATTGTTACGAGCACCAGGATGAGTCACTTCACACTGAAACAACTGATCCATCGATGATGAATTATCACAGTTAGACTCCAGATAGATCACAGTAGCAGAGCATTCGTCCTCAGATGGCTTTACTTTACACTTTCCCATTTCTTCATGACTAAAAAGCCACTTCACTTTGTCTTTGCAGGAGCCAGACATTATGACAGAGCAGATTAATGTGACGGTTTGGTTCTCCACATGTTTAGTCACTGTGGAGAAAATATTCATAGAATCGTCATCTCCATCGTTACCAATCTGTAGTTTCAGAAAAAAGATTGCATAGTTGTATGAAAATACTCACTGGTAATAACAGACAGATCAGTTGTAGACTCATGATCCAGACTTTCTGGAGCTTCAGCATATCGTTGACAAAAATACTGTCCAACATCCTCAGCTGTGATGTTCTTTATAACCAGAGAGCAGTTTGGTGTTAGACTGATTCTGGTTCTGGTTTCCTCCTCAGGTTTTCCAAACGTAACCAGAGCTTCAATCTCTTTGCTTTTGGACCCTCCAAAGAGCCACGTTGTCCAGTTACAGTTCTGTTGACCTTCCACCACTTTCTGACAGGACAACATGGCGTCTTCTCCAGCTCTCTTTAAAACAGTGTCAGTATTTACAATGACTGCTGAAAAGATAAAATAGATCCAGTAGCTAAAGCCGTGTGCATCAAGATCTGGAAGCATTTCAGTCATTAACTCAGCAAACCAGAATGAACGTTTTACAGTTTTAGCTTCAGAGTTTATCTTATTCTCTTACCTGTAACCTGGAGCTCCAGAACCAGAAATAAAAACATTTTAATCCGTCTGAGTTCAGTCATTCTGCTTCTGTTGCTCTCAGCCAAAGATCTGAGCCTGAGAACTGAGATGTAGCAGCTACTTCCTGACACTCACCACTTCCTTACGTCGACTGTGAATGGTTTTATAGTTTTATGTTTAGGCAGAAAAAATAAAATAGAACGTTAGTTAGATAAAATAGAGGAGCAAATTTATTTAAATATATTTGTACATGATAAATTTTCAATATTAATCATTAAAATTTCACTTTAGTGATTAGGATTTAAAGACTGTTTAGATTATTAAATACCAAAAGTATTTCTAAGAAATGGAAAAGCAGGGAAACATTTGAAAGTCGACTATTTTAAATAAAGCAATAATGATGGCATAGATATACTAAATTGTAGCAGGTTGTGCTCAACAGTGCAAATCAACATCTTTGACTGTGGTGTGTTTGATGTTTATTTTAAAAAAGAGGAACTGAATAAATATGTAAAGACTTTTTGAGTAGACAAACACAGTTCTTCTTTTCTAAGTTTGGTTTTAATAGAAGCAAAAATGGAAAGTCAAACTTCTGATCAGACGCTCCGGTTCTTATTTAATATCATTAATCGTGGGCCTCCTGTCTCCTCTTGCATCCATGAAATTTCTGTAAACTGAAAATGAAGTTATTGATGAAAACAGAGAAGGAAGATTAATGCTTGTATTCTGCTTTTATTTTGGTGCCATTTATTATCAAAACCAGGGTTTGTGGTGCTGAGCTGAGACACTCCCTTATCAACATCCGGCTGAAATGCTTTTGACTGATCAGGTTATACGTGACTAATCTAAGACCTCAAATGTGTTATCACATCTCTAAAGGGTTGTTTTTTTGAAAACTAAACAGGAAGTCTAGGAGGAAGTGAGTAAATGAGTGTTGACTAGTGCAGCACCGTTCTTTTCTTCAGCTTGTGTTAATTTGAAACAGAATTTGGTTTATAGATGAAACATAATCCAAACAGTAACCAAACATGTCACAAACAATTAAAGGTTACTTCTGAGAAATCAGAGTACTATTCTTATTTGATCTGAAACATTTTGATGAGTAAACAGGAGACATTTGAAACAGGCGCTGAGCTAATAACAGGAAGTTAGCGCCTAGCTTAGTGTATCTTAAACCTAAAGCAGGAAATCGAACAGATTACTCCCATGAATAAGACCCAGAACAGCAGAATCATCTGCAAACATGATGAGTTTTTCCTTACACACGAGGAAACAGCAATGGACCAAATCAACAGCCCTGAGGTGACCCACTGCTCACTGTCATGGGTTCGGAAATTTTTTATTTTTTTTTTTTTAACTCAAAGCAGACTGACTGATGTTTCTATCCAGAAGTTTCTGTGATCAGGCCAAACAAGAGAAGGTACTCTAATAAAGTTGTCTCTTCACTATATTTTCATAAATACCTAATAAATAAGCAGGGGCGGATCTACTGGGGTGGCATAGGGTGGCAGTTGCCGCCCCATAAATATTTTTCTAGATCCGCCTCTGGATTTATCTAAGATGTTTGATCTAATTAATTTTGATCAAGACTGTGCTAAGGAGGTCAGAAGTAACCGAACAATAAAAGCTGTAGACAGAACAACTTGTTCCAGGACCAAAAGATACTGTAAATGTAAAGTCAACAATGTTTACTGTTACATCCTGAGGTCATTTAGGAAGAGACTTACACTAAAGAGGAAGTGTTTGATGAAAAATATAAAAAACATGGCAACAGACCTCTGGAGGCTTCAACTACAACACAAGAAACACAGATTGTTTAAAAAACTGATGGCCATTCTCTTATTTTAAAAGTTACAGACACAATAGTTTAACCTGCATCTGTATAGCCCTACAAATATTAAAGATACGAAATTCAAGATTTTTATCGAGTCCAAATTTTCCAAAGTTTCCAAACTAACATCCAGATCCATTTCTGCAACCAGTCAAAGAAACTTTTAGTTATGGATGGTTAAAGTTTTATTGAAGCTTCGACACTTGATGCAAAAAAGTGTTTATTACTAGAAGCTTTAGAGACTCAGTGCTCAAGTGGGACATCTAGTGGTCAACAAAATGAAGTACAATTAAGTATTCATTTCAATTCCCACTAATTTGTATGTTACATTGTTCTTCTTGTACACTTCATATTATTATGTAACATTTAAAACAAGCTGCTACATTAGACATTTTCTACAAATACAGATTTATTATTAGTTTTGGGTGTTCACACTCAATTACTTCAATTTAGTTTTTATTTTCTGTTAAATCATACAGGATAATTGTTGCTTTAAAGGTGGAAAAAGTGTTGAAATCATTCATGGTTTCAGTTTTTATTCAAAGTAACATTTGATTCATTTTCAGGCGAGGTTTGAAAATACCTGAACGTGTCTCATTTTCTCTGAACTCCAGTCGTGGCAAACAACACAGAACAGCTCTACTTAGTTTGTCTTTTTATTTTCTTTGCTTGGATTATGAGTCATATGCTGATAACTTTAAACAATAGCATAAAATTTGCAATTATATACAATTAGCATAAAATGAATTCAATGTCTTGCTGTGGGAAGCAAAGTTTACTAAAAGTTTTAAACGTACAGTTTTTAATACATATTATATCAAATATTTATAGAAGCAACATTTAGGAAGAAGGAATAAAATTAAAAAAAATCCACATTCATCTTAATATTTTGCAAAGAATCAGCAAAACATACCTATTAAAATCATCTCTGGTTACAAACTGAAACAAAACAAACGTTAACAGGTTTCTGTCTGACATTAATCAAACCTCTACCTGAAAACAAGCTAAATAGATTCACTACTTCAGGCTCTATGCTGCCCTCTTGTGTGCAAATAATTGAACTATCAAAATCAATACCAAAGGAAAGTATCTATTTGCTCTGCAGCCCAACAGTTGGGAACTTGATTTATTGAGGACTTGATATTCATAAATGGAATTAGATGAAAACCAAAAGACTTTTTACAGTTCATCTTCTTCATCACCACTCTGCAAATGGAAAACAAACAATTATTTTGAGATAAAACTAATTGTTTTGTTGACAATGAATGAAGGAAACAAGAAAACATAGTGTCGAGAAAAGTCGAGCTCATCCCACTTCCCCATGCTGTAGATTTTAGTTTA